TTTTACAGATAGTCAACTGACCAGAGAATGAAATTTGAGGTGCTAACAAAATTATTTGAGTGACAGTTGGCTATTAGAATGGAAAATACAGTGCTGATGTGGCTTGGAAAGTAGTAATAGCCTGTTTAGAAATAAGATGGGAGGAAGAATGCTCTGTTGAGTAACTAGCCATTTTATGAAAATATATTATTAAAATATGCCTGCATGGAGGGAAGGCTGTTACCTGGTGATACGTTGCATATCGTTTATGACAAGGCTGGAGATGGGAAATGAGGGAAGTCCTTGCTGCATTGGTGGCACAAGGAATTGTGTTCTCAGCCCATCAGCTGATTTGCCTCGTCTGCCCTGAACTTTCTGCTTTGCCCCAGTAAAGGGTTGGTCTGTGTGATGCATGTTCCCAGATTAGTTTTCCTTGTGAAGAGACTTGCTTTTTTGTAGCTGCCAATCTTGAGCAAACTGTGAAAGGAAGAGGCTTCTCTGACTTTTGTGGTATGACTCGTTAGTGTAGCCATGATATCATGTTTCAGTTAGTTTGCTTTAAAACACTTGGTCTCCGTAGGCTTTGCAGGATGGTCGTGTCTATTCTGCAACTGTTGAGTCCAGGCCAATTCTTAAGAAAACGTTGTGTATTGACACAAAGCACTGTGGACAGTTTTAACTAGCCCAGGGGAACAAAAGAGCTTCAGTCCAAGCCTAGTAGCCTAATGAAATGTTTGCTTTCATATTTTTTGTAACAAAATCCCATGACTTTGTCAGTAGGAGACCAGCGAGTTTAGCGATGCTTGAAAATTCCTATCTATGGGAAAGAAAGCATAGAGCAGTCAGAAATATCCAGATTTGTGGAAGATAGAAATGTTGTCTTTTTCGCTTGCAGGTGAAAGGTGGCTGTGCGTGTGTGCCAGGTCTTGCCCAGTACTCCCAAGATAAGTTTCTGTTGCTGAATCTGAACACAACCTTGTTCCCAGTGGCTTGAAAGAGAGTAGATTTGGAAGACTGTAGCTGTTCTGATTCATGTTCTGGAAGCAATCCTATTGTCCAATTTTTTTATGCCTATCACGTTTCCAGTGTTTGTTCATACATGTTTATTGGGCAGATTTCTTTATCTGACCAAATGTTTTTCGTGTTAATTGGCATGCAGGTGGCTATGGAGCTCACCAGCTCTGGCTAAATCGTATTCGTTTGTTTGGTAGATGTTCCTGTAGGTTCTCAGTGCAGTTTCCGATCCACACTGCTAAAGTTGTTTCTTATATATACTTATCTGATTGACAAATTGTTTCTTCTCTTTTCTAATTCTTTAGAACAAGTGAAGGCTTCTAAAGAAATGAGGCTTTTTCCTGATAAACTGATGATTAGAGTGCCGTGGTTTTATGGCAGCAGACCCAGTCCCCATTTGTCTTGGTGCATTTACCACTGGTGCTTCTGGGAGTGCTGTTTGGTTTTGGTGGCCTGTTGCCATTTCAGGGTTACACCTGTCTTGTGGTGTCAGAACAGCAAATCCCCAAGAAACAGTGATCCAGAAAAGCAAAAGTGATGCTGTGGTGCAGAGTGTGTTAAACAGGAGTGTGTTAAATGGATTATTTTACTGGTGTGTGATGTCACCTGTGAGACAGAATCTTTTCCTCTCTCTCAGATCTGTCTTCTACATTTTCAGGAGGTTGTTGGAAAAAAATCAAAGAAGGTGGAAGGGCACAAAAGTGATGACTTTCAGCTAAGTCTATTAAAGTTTCTTAAACAAAAGATTGTCTTGTCTGTTAATGGAAAGAGTTAATGCCAGTAATCTTAATGGGGGGGGAGGGGAATGACAAAAGACTGTTTAAGTGGTTTTGGAGCTGAAATACAATTCCTAAATGAATATATATGTGTGTGTGTGTATATATTTCTGTTTTCGATTGTAAGATGATGATGATTGGCAGGTCATTACATTTGTCACATGTAAAAATGTGTTTATTCAACTAATGCATAATTGCATGATGCTCAAATAGCTCATTTTGTGTGTTGCGAGTAATTTACAACTTAAATATGTAACTTGTACTGAAGAACTACAAGTTGCTCTGTGGTACTTTTTAAAAAAGGGGGGTGGTAGTGGCAGTGGGACATGGGATGCAAATTGAAACTAGTTCAGAGTTGAATTATTCATCTCAAAGTAGCATTTATGCAATGTATTATAGATTCTTGGTAAATCAATAAGTATTGTTTGGGAGTTTCTTTACATGATAGAGTTTTGAGAAGAAAATACTACTACCCAGGAGTCATTCATAATTACTTTTAATGTATGTCTACAAAGATCAGCAGAGGAACAAACAAATTGATAAGGTAGCAATCTTTTTTTTTAATTAAAATGGAGAAAACCACTGAATAGACATGTCTCTTCAACTTGGTGTCCTGTAAAACTCTTAAATAATATCCAGAGATAGTTCCAAGCTGACATTTGACGTCTTTTTCACCTTTTGAACGTTGGATAACTGAACCACAGCCACACAGTATAGGTCCTTAGAACAGAGATTTCCTCTGGTATTGTTTTTTCATTGACGTAGTCAGAAGGATAAATTACAGAAAACAAGCTGTGAAGTAATTTTTCTTGGATTTCAGTATTAAGTAGCCCAAGACAGGATTACTCGTGTCTCATCATTATGAATGTATTACCGCTTAGCAATTAATAGTTATTTTTAGAAAATGGATTTGGTTCTGCTAACTGGAAAAATAAAGCTGCCTCTCAAAATGTCTGTTATCATAAAAATTACCCTCAAAATCATATTTATGCAGGTATATTAAAGAACTTTTTCATTGTTCTTTTTCTGAAAATACACTTTTAGGGAGAACAAGGACAGCAAGCTCGTCGTCTCTGATGTAGTGTATCACATCAGGCAGTGCATTCCCACATCCCCACCCTCATGGTAAAGGAATTCCTCAGGCTGCATCGTGAGCTGTTGCAGTCGTAACCTTCCCACAGCCTATGGCGAGTTGTCTTTGCTACCGAAAGACGAATTCGGATTAAAATACTTGCCCCTGTGCATACCTTCTGATAATTTTCTCTTCGGAAAAAACTAGCCTGCACTCAAGTGAAGTAATTCTGCTGTCACCCGTATGACTTGGAAAATGCATTAGGGCATGACTTGAATGTTTCAAGTTCTTCTTGGCGTCTCCTTTGAAGTGTCAGTGATTTCTAAGATGCATGCACGCACCTTCATGAGAGCATTATTATGAACACGCAGATGGTACGAGTAGCAGAAGAATTTTTGCAGTTGAAAAATGAGAGGCCTTTTATTATGAAGAAAAGCTCAGTAATAATGAGTACAGGTGAGATGTTAGTTGTACTACTAACTATATACAGGAAAGATGTGTTGAAATTTGCCTTCCGTTTTATTTCAGTTTTTATATGTATGTGAGTTTATTCTGGGTGTTGCTGAATAAAAGTGATGCAATATGGTCTTTTCTCTTCTTGTGATTAATCCAAGTTTGTGATCTGCTCTGGGCAAGAAGTTGTAGTTACTCATTTTGCTGCAGAAGTGTTTTGTTTTGTTTTTTTTTTTTGTCCAGTGTTAGTATCTGGTTTTGCCTGCTTGATCATTAGGGATGGGATAGTATGCTAGTGCTTGGCTCTATTTGCATAGGCTAACTCACTCCTTATGGTTTCTGAAACTTTTTCCTTAACACCACTTCTGGTTGTAGTGTGAATGCAGTCTAAACGTGTGTGGTTAAGCATTTTGCCTTCTGAGAGTAACTGGCTAGGATTTAGCTTTTCTGCAAGTCTTTTAGTGGGTCCTTTCTCCTCAGAGCAATGGCCTTGGGCACCATGGTGATGGCAGTCAAGTGGCAAAGAAGCAGTTGTACTGTTACCAAGTTGTAAAGTCTTCTGAAATCCTGTTTTTCATGCTCCCTCCATCCCATCCCCCTGCTTTTTTGTTTTACGTCTCTTGGCATTGAGTGAACTATATTCATGCATCTATTTGAAAAACATTGGTCGTTACTAATTAATGATACAGTTCATCCCTTAATGTTCAGTGTTAACAGAACACACCTATTGCCTGGGAAACAGTATTAATTAGAGTTGAAAGAAATATATAGAACTAGATGTTAAGTATCTATTTTTTTTTGAAAGAAAAGAAGTTAGTTTACTGAATTTTGGTTTGGGCAGCTGTATTCTTTTCTCATTTTCCATGCCTGTTAATTAAAGTGTGAAAGGCATAAAAAAAGAATTTCTTAAAAATTAAGATACATGTTTTGAAAAAGAATACAAACAATGTGGACTATGATTCAAGATTTTTAATATATACACATACATACAGGGGTTGTTTACACGCAGGTCATTTACTCAACAGGAAACTAAAGGAACTGAGTCCATTCTTCATACAAAAATGTTTCAGTTGCTAGAGAAGAGTGCAGTGGTGTGGGCAGAGCAGCCTTTGGTGAGCACTGCCTGAGCCCTGCCTCTGCAGCTGCTGGGCAGCATTGCCCACGCACAGGAATGCTGGGCTTCCACCTTGCCAGCAAGAAACAATTTTTGCTTGCTTGGTAGAGCATGCAGACACGAAGTTTAAGGAATGTACTTTTTTTTTTTTTTCCTCCCCCCTCTTTGGGGATCACTCGGTACACTTAAACAGAATACATTAATTTTATAATACTGTCTCTCTACAGATTTCATCCCAGGAAGTGAGATTCGAGTTTATGGAGTTAGAGACTTGCAAAATAATAACTAAAAAACCACCACGCCAGAAACTCTTATCTGCACAAATACAAGTTGATGTAGCAATTCCTGTGTAGAGCTGATGATGAATTGCCTGTGGTTTTGGGGAGACTAACTCGTTTTCCTCTTGATTGCACTGGAAATCTGAACTTAACGCTCATGAGAAATAAAATCAGAGAACGTGAGTTACTTGATGTGCCTAAAGATCCCAGACGCAGTGGTGAAAAGACAAAACTGCTCTTTGAAGCAGTAGCTTCAGTTGTGCCTTACTGTGTCCTCTGGGAACTGAGAGAAACAGTGGCCAACCTGGGAGAAAATGCCAGCTAAAGGTAAATACTTCTTCAATGAAAATGATGACTGCAGGATATCAGACCCGCTCTATGAGAAGTACCGCTACACAAGCCAGCAGCACCCACTCCTGCTATTGCTGCTCTTCATTGCAATCATCTTCTGGACTACTCTGATTATAATCTTTTTTGTCATTGATGTGAGTATACTTTTTTCTTTGTGTTCAATGTTTTCAAAGATGATGAGGAATCACTTTAACAGCACACAAAACATTTCTGACTAAATAATATTTTTGAGCCACGTAGTCTCGAAGTTGCAATTTTGAAAGAAATCAAGTAATTGTGTATTTAATGTTGTGTATGTTTTTGAAGGGATAGGGAAAAGAGGAGACAGTGTTGTCAGGCACATGCAGTTACTATAAGGATTGTTCTTTCCTTCCTATATGTTCTAAACAAATCATAATCTATGCTAAATGGCACCTATGATAGTAAATAAATAATAAAGGGAGGAACAAGAACATAAGTTAAAATGTCCTGCATTTCTCCTATTTTATTTTTAGAGTCATATAAGAAATGTAAAATAATATAGTGATTCATGGGTTATGAATTCCCGAGGTGACTTCTTTTTAAAAGGATTTGTAGATATTAATTCCTATTCTTTTTTTTTTTTTTTTTAATAAAACCACAACAGGAATCTCCCAGTACAATGGGTGATCTGTTGAATCAATAGTCAGCAAAGGGTAGGGATTTTGTAGTCGCAGGAAAGATGCAACTTCAAGATTTTTTTGTTGTGTAGCATAGTATGATATTTTGTAAAGAAATTAGGTGTTCTTAAGCCAGTCTACATGGTAAAAATGGGAGATGATTTAAAGATAATGCTGTAAAAAGGTAATAAGGAAGCTGTTATAATCCTTTGTTGCCTTCTAACACTACTTGCCAGATACCATGCTTCATGATAAAATGTCTTGAAGTCTCTCATTAGCAGCAAATCTAATCTTACCAGTTGCACTTCTATCTCTTTTAGCTTTTATTTGTTAAAAAAAGGAAAGAAGTAGCAGCACTGTTTTTGTTAAAAGTCCTCTCCTGTCAAACTTAGGAAAAGAGCTGTTACGCTTCCTTTTAGCAAAGTTTGAACTCCTTAAATGCATTTCGTTGGGTACATCTGCATTGTGCAATGTAGTATAGTTACAACTTAGCTTACAAGACAAAACCAAAACCACTCATTTAGGAGATAATAATGGTGAAACTGGAGTAGACCGGATATCTATAATAGTATTTATTATATTATCTTGGTATGTGTGAATGTCAGAAACTATTAATGCTGCTACAGCTAGACGACTTAGGAACTCAAGTTAGCATATTTTAAAGCTGTCTGAGCTGTTTCCAGGGCAGTATAGATGCATTTTCCTTTTGTTCTAACCGGGACATTTAGAAATATAGGTTAACAGCCTTGTAATGTTTCATTGTAACATCATTAACAACAAATGTAACACTTTGATTTGCTTTTCCAGGAAGCATCTGATCATCTTGCCTTCATTATTGCAGTATGTACTGCTCTTGTCATATTTACAGTCATGTACTTACTTCTATGTATTGAATCCCTGTTTCGGAGATGGCTAACGTTATTTGGAGTTATGATTTGGATTTGCTTCTTAATCGTAGGATATGTATCTCTATTTGAAAAAGAAAATGATTATCAACTGTGGGAACAGGTATGTATGTCTTCTTCATTCAGGTACTTACAGAGAACTGGTAGTCAGTATATATGAATGTGTGTGCTTTTTTTTCCCCCCTAAATATTATAACTGCATAACTTTCACTTTCCTAAATTGGTTTTATTGGCTTATTATAATCAATTTTAGTTTGTATTCTTTATAATAGTGACAATACAGTTCAGCTGAGAAATTTGGATAATTGCATAAGTCTAGGTGGGAACTGCATCTTTAAGTTGTAATTGAATTGTATTTTTATTTAAGATTTTTACTAGATCTTAATTACTACGAATTCATCTTTGAGAGAATTTTTCATAAATAATACTTGCTTTGTTAATTTATATGGGTCAAAGTGGTGTTCAAGAAATATATGAAGGACTCTCGAGCTGGGTGTGCCCTAGGGAGCATGTTTTCAAATCAGTGGGAGAGGTGAAGTGAACAATAAGGATTAATGACACATCCTGGCATAGCTGGGTGTGGCTTAAGTTCATTGCTTGGTATCTCTGATCAGAAGACGGGTGATTTCATGATGCCAAAAATATCATAATCTGTAGGAAACTCCTCCTAAGCTTTCATAATGTAAACTGAAGAGTTTTTAATGAAATAAAAATGACTTTTTATCTTGTTTTACTGACTCTTCCCCTTCCCCTCTTTATTTCAAATAAAGAAAAATATAAATTATCAGTTAAACAACCAAAATCTGATTTGTATTATGGCCTGGATCCAGCACTGTGTATTTACAGTTGCTATTCAGTTTTTTTTTAACTTAAGGAAGAAGCTATTAGCTTAGGAAAAAACAAAATTTACTGTTCTTAACTGTAAGTACAAACATGTAACAAAGCAAGATTTGGTTTTGCTGCTTTCAGTGCTGCAAGCCAATGTCGTATGCTGTTGTCATGTGGTAATAATTCATTAATGTTGATTTAAAGCCTAAAATATAAGGAGAACTTAGATTAGAAAGTAGAAGTGAATAGGCTCGTTTCAGTTATCTCAAGTTCTGAATTTATCACGAATTTAAGATACTATTTAAATGCAGATATGACCTTTGCTTGTCCATGCTTGTAAAACTATTACACAGCATTCAGAACATTGTGTGATAGGGATTATAGGATTGGCAGAAAAAAGATTATTATAGTCCAGTTAAAATGGTAAAGGTGAACATGAAAAGATTACTTTTGTTGAATGAAAACTTTTATTTGCTTGCTTGTTTGTTTATTGCTGTTCTTCCAACCAAGCTATCTATTCTGGCAAAACCTTTAAGTACAGTCTGGGCCTTGAGAGTTCCTTGAAGGAAGCTCATGTCTGGAATGGCACAAGTTGAGTTGCAGTGATGAGCTGGAGCTGAGCCAGGAACACTGCAATATTTTCCTGTGATCAGAGTTATTAGTTTTCATATATATGAGCTAAACGCTATAAGAAATCTATAAATATGGATATAAGTTTTACAGACATTCCTTCTGATCCTTAGCAGTTTGGTGGACTGGTGTGCATCTTGTAAAATCTGTGCAGCTAAATACGTAGTTAGTGGCAATAATGATTATTCTCTTGTGTCAGCACCAGTAAGTATTAGTTGGATTTTTGGTTTTTATCAAACATGGAGTAAACACACACATGTGATCAGGTGATGTTAAAATTAGAATAGTAACTTGGAAAAGGTGAGAAATCTGATTCTATTCAGTATTGCTGTCCTTGCAACACACTGTTCCCAATACATGATGTGCAAAGTGCATCTTCAGCTGCAGTGGATAAATTCAGGATGAAGGACAAGGACAACTGAAAAAATTAAAGGTGATATGTCATGTTAAACTGTCTTATCTATGAATCTATAGCTGCTAATTCCCTCAAAGCTTTCAGGACTACCACTGCCCTTATGTTTTAAACTGTGCTTTTGAAACGTCAGTATTTAATAGTTCAGCCTGAAAACAAGCAAGAATCCTGCTACTTTCCTCCTTGTTTTGTAGTGATTTTTGGCAGGCACCTAGTAACATGTATGTGTGATTTTTTTTTTTTTTTTTCCCTTTCTCTCTCTCCAAAGGTGCCATTCTTTCTATTCATAATCTTCACAGTTTATACCATGCTACCTTTTGGGATGAGAGGTGCTGTCATCATTAGTGTTCTTTCTGCTCTCTCTCATATTATTGTTCTAAGCATTGTGGTAAGCATCACTTCCCAGGAAAATAAGGAATCCATTCTATTTCAGGTATGGAAAACTTACTTGGTAAAGTAATTAAATATCCTAGTTGTATTACTGTTTGACACTGGTGTAACTATCTTGTTTAGAAAAGTGCCAGACTTCCACGTGAATGTTCCAAATTCATGGATTTGGAGCTTGGGCCCAATGTGTTTTGTATGCTTTTCATAAAATTGCATTTCTTTTCATCTATAATGCATTTTGGTTTTCTCACCTAAGTGGAAGAAGCAGAATTATTATTTTAATTTTTTAACTAAGTTACTCAAAATATGACGAACTTTGTCATGATCGTTCTTCCCAAGCTGTGCTGTTTCAGATGGGTCCTATCTAACTTCATCTGGCACTGCCTACAGGGTGGATCTAAAGGGACATTGCTGCTGGAGTCAGCAGGACCTGAGAGTGCCACTGGGTGCTTTGGGTGTGTTCAAAGGAGCACCCCAGCTCTTTTGATGCAGGTGTGTGTCAGGCTTCACACAGCATGCTGATGCATCAGTTCGGAGACTGGTTTCTCCCTAAATCAAGCACTGGTGCCTGCAAATAAATGTTAAATGGTATAGCAGAATTTTCTGTTTCATTATCCTACTGTATATTCATACAGGAATGGCCATGACTGAAAGTTAGCTTATATTTCCCAGGTACATCCTGGCTCATTGAAATGCTATGATGTGATGTGTGACAGGGTAAGAGAAAGTGAATGTGGCCTGTGAAGGTGAAGTATCAATGACTGTTCTGCAGTAGGTAAATATTTTTCTTCTTGTGCAGCTGCTTGCCAATGCCGTCATTTTTCTTTGTGGTAACTTGATGGGTGCATTTCACAAACGCCAAATGCAGGTCGCTTCGTGGGATTTGTACAGATACACATTAAAGTGCATTCAGGTCCGAATGAAACTGAAGATTGAAAAGAGGCAACAAGTGAGTGAACTAATCCATGTTATGAATTGCTTGTTTTCATTTCTAAAGTCTGTATAAATTTATAAGGTTGGTGACTAATGCATGTTGAAAGGCTTGGTCCAGTCTTTGTGATACCCACCTAGTGTCGAAAATAAAAGCTGTGCCATTTGTAACAAAAGAAGGAAGTTAAGGGGGAGGAAGCTGTTCACTGTGGCTTGTCTGTATGAGAATCACAGTATTTGTAACAGGAATGTAATTGCCAGTTATTTTAGTTACCTTTTTTCCAATATAAAATGTTGCTGAGACTAGCCCAAGGTAATTTAAAAGAGCATGCTCTTAGTGCCCAGAAAAATACTTGTGAGGTAATTTCAACAGTTAGTTTCATGCTTACCTTGGTTACGTTTTTTTGTTTTGAATTCCAAAGTACTATTTGTTCTTGTATTTTCTTGTTTCACAAACTAATTTTCTTTTGCAAGAAGGAGAAAATTGGAGCCTAAGGGATAAAAAAGTCCTATAATAGATTATAGTATTTGAGTATGACATCATTTATTTTCATTAACTCCAGTGATAGTTAAAGAATAAGCAAGGAACATAAATTTCTTACTGAGGAAAGATTGTGAAGAAGTATCAAATCTGAAACTAGGGCACCTTTCCTCTTTTATCCTGGTATAAGTAGGGTTAATAACAGCAGCTCTACAAGCCTGGTGTGTACTGAGTTCCCTGCCCACCAGTCATTAGATAAAAGGAAGGGGCTGAAAAGTGACTGACTTGATCGAATTGAAAAGAAGAAAATGCCACACTGGTAGTGCTGTCTGTCCTCTGATGCTAATCTGGTGAGATGAGATGACAAATCTGCATGAAAGCCCTGGCAGAATTCCCCCATGCAGCAGCCTGGGAAGCATTTAATCAGCTTACACAGGCAGTGTGCTCTCATTTTTTGGGCCATGTGGTAACTTACATGGGGTTGTGGTGGATGTGTGTGGTGGTTTGGTTTTTTTTAATGGTTGCTTGTTTGAAGTGTAGATGTGCTTAAGTCTATGGACAGCTTGCTTTTCATCTGTGTTGTAATTTGTCACACAATTTTGAGTCTCCTTTTTGCCGCCCACTTTTTCTCTGAAAATAATGTGAGAAATGCGGTTCAGGGTTCATCATCACTTCTTTGAAAACTGCGTAATGTGTTAGTCTCGAACAGCTCCGTTACATTCACTGGGGCTCTGCTGTCAGTTTAAATCGTTCCCCAAGGTTGACTCTCCTAGTATTGAAATGCTAGAGGAGGGGAAGGAGGTGTTTTCTGTTTCTGGGGACAGTCTCAAACTAAACTGCTGCCTTTACCTACTGTAGTCCAGTACTTGATGCTCGAGGACTCCGACTTCCCGCTCTAATCCCAAGGTATTTCTTTTTGGTGGCAGACACTTGGTTAAGCAGCCCTGGCAGCCTACTGCCATCTATGTACTGCTGCATCAGTTATTCAGGGGACAAAGATTTGGTCAGAGACAGCATTTTACTCGTTGCTGGTGATGTCATCTGAAAAAGTTCCTGGTTGTAGCTGCTCCATGTAACATTTCCTCTCCTGTGATGACTCTGTCTCTGGGACCATAGAGTGCTTCCTGGGTTAAAAGTACTCTTTTTTTTTTTTTGTCTTCCTCTTCTGCCCAGCAACTTAGCAGGGTTGTCTTTGAAGAACAGGCCTTTAAGTCAAAACCAGTGTAAAACAGTGCACTGAATACTCAAACAGTGTAAATGGTTTTTGAAGAATCTGTATTCTCATCAAGTTCGAACGACTCTATTTCAGTGGCACCAGTTCGTGGTTCATTTAAGCTATAGCAGCAGGTTGTTGATGCTTTTGTATCTGTTACTGCTTTTCCAGCATTTGAGAATTCACAAGGGCTTTTAACGCTGCATAGATTGTTCGTTACAAATGTAAGCTTTTACCAGAAGCTTTAGCAGAGGATGCTAACATAACACCGAGACTGGTGGACAGAATAAGTTTGTTTTATCCAGAAATTGTAGTACTGAATACTGAATTTTTGTGTGTTTTATGGTTACAGAGAGATGTCTCATCTAGATCACAAAGAACAGAAGAAAAAAACGTGCATCACCCTTACTTAACTGTAAAATCAGTGATTTTTCGAGAACAGAAATGTAAAAGTCTTTTCTGGAAAACCTGACATGCATTAGTTAAAAGCTATTTGAATAAAGGTGTTTTGCTGTTTGTTTGTTTGGTTTTTTAATTCCTTCTTGCAGTCACTAAAATTCTGTGTTAAGGATTTTGCATGATGAATTTTTTTCCCGTTTCCTTGTAGGAAAATTTGCTTTTATCCATACTGCCAGCTCATATCTCTATGGAAATGAAGCTAGCAATCATAGAGCGACTAAAGGAAACCAATGATAATAGGCAAATGCATGACAACAACTTCCACAGTCTATATGTAAAAAGGCACCAAAATGTTAGGTAAGTGGAGACTCTAGAAGTAATTGCATTAATGTAAGCTGCTCATTCTTAACAGTGTAAATGGTCCAGTGAAATTAAAATTTGGAGGTAGGCTTTGATGCTGAAGTGAGCTTCTTTCCTGTTGTGGGAAGATAATGTGCCTTGAACTGATGTGCTGTCTTCTAAAACAGTCAAGGTACTAGAACCCTTTTTTCTGGAGTTTTCCAAAGACAGAAATGCTTTCTATTAAATGCATTTTAGTATTTAAGCTGTGGAATAGACATATCTTCATATTTCGGTGATGTTGGTTTTTCCTTTTGTTCTTGTCTAGTATTCTTTATGCAGATATTGTGGGATTTACTCGCCTTGCCAGTGACTGCTCTCCTAAGGAACTGGTGGTGATGCTGAATGAACTTTTTGGAAAGTTTGATCAGATTGCAAAGGTAGGTGTTGTAGTTTGTTGTGCACTAGGGATAAAGGCCACCATTGGAAAAGCGAGAAATCCCTTCCACAAGACAGAAGGCAGTTGGTACTTCTGAAGTCAGGAAGGGAAGACTGCTTTGGCTTTAAAGCTAAGTAGCAAAATCACATTAAAACAAAACTTAAAACAAAAATGAGAAATTTAGAAAGCTGTTACTATAATTCCAATTCTTGAGTCTGGAGGTTTATCTGTATTGTTCAGGAAATTGTCTGATGGCAATGAATCATTGTAATAGGGCTGTAAGAGGTGCTGTATACAAGCTCTATTGAGGAGGTTTGCTGTGTTCAGTTAGAAGCGTTGTTTGTTTGCTCTACACATGGAGAACTCTCAGGCACACATTTAAATTCATAAATTCAGTCGTATTGCATCACACCAAAGAGTTTTTTAGCTCAGGAGTAGTAATTAGTAGTAGACACTCAGAGAAAAGCATAAGAGTGGGAAGCAGACTGAAATGGTCCCTATTAAGACATACCCTTACTACAGACTCTTCAGGCTGGCAGTAGTTCTTACACTTCCAAGTGCTGCTTGAGGTTAATTTCTTTGCAACTGTAATCACAAACTCAGCTTTTGAGTTCTCAGATTACAGGGACTGTATCATATACATGTTTGCTTGATTGACTCTGCGTGATGATTTCTGTTATTCTCTGAAACTGTCCCTAATCTTGGGTATATGTTCTGTCATATCCATCGACTTTTCTGTTAAGTATTATGAGGCAAATATGTCTTTAGGAAAATAAATGCTGCATTTTGTTACATCCTATGTGACATAAAAACCCAAATACCAACGCAAATTCTGGTTCTTGAAATTTGGCATTGGTAAAGCATAAGTCAAGACCAGTGACTACCTATCAAAACTTCCCATGGTTTAAAGATGTTGATTTGATTTCATAATTGACCATATTTGGATGTACTGAATGCACACTAGAAAATTAATGGACTTGGAAAATCTTGGTTTTGTGAAATTCTAAAAAATTTTTCAGAAAAAGTGGGAAATCTTTAGAATTATTAATATAGCAGAGGAGTGGAATTGCTTTAAATTAAACTTTTGTGGATGTCGTTGAATAAATCCTTAAACATATTACTGATTAAAACTTGGCTAAAATCCTGGTTAACCTTTTTGACTAAATGACATTGCTAATCTTTGCATTTATATGGATTCAGTTGCTGTTAAAACTTCAAGTACTGGTAAATAAGAGAGTCATACTGACTATTGTAATTGTATTGTTGCAAAGCAGCTATTAAGAATACAGAGAATAAGTCACATCGTCTTACTTGCCACAAGCTTTTTATGCCACAGTAGAAGCTGAAGTTCAAGACATTTGGTCATTTTTGCAACTGTTCCTCAGATACAGAAGAGATTCCAGATTATGAGTGATGATGTTTTAATTTCTCACTCTCATCTGCAACTGGCACTGTTTAAAAAATGTCTGGATTTAGTGAATCAAGGTCTTTTGCAACTCTGGTTGAGCTGTAAGAGATTTCTGCCTTTTTTGTGCCATTTTTGTTCTGCTGGGGACTATTCTGTCATCTTTTCCAGAAAGTAAAAATGTTGTAGGCTCCAATTTACCTGATAAGTGGATGGCGAACCTGGACACGGAGCTGGGTACTGAAGTCTAACAGCTCTAATCTGGGGCTAGGTTCCCCCGTTGATCTCAGAAACTGAAGCACAGGGTTATCTTAACTCATTGCTTGCTGTAATGCTCAGAACCTTCTGGATGGCGTAAGATGGTGGAGAATGATGGATGTTCTCTTAAGACTTTGACCAATGAGGGAGAACAACTTAGTCTGGTAAATTGCCACGGATTTGGGCTGATTTTGGAGTTGATTGGAGAATTGCTGGGCTGTTCCCACAGCAAGGAGGGCTGGGCAGCTGAAGTTGTCAGCTGGCCCAAATTGAACCATCTCTACTCATCAGTCAAACACTACACAGCCTAGCAGAATTGGCCCTGGCTTGCTTGCAACCTTTTCAGTTAAAATTCTTCAGTAATGTTTTAACAAAAGACAGCATGAGGAGCTCTTTGGTTTTTCTCTTTCCTCTCTCCAGCCAGTAATGGGCAGCAGTATCCTCTGTTGCAGTTAAGAAAAAGTTTTCTGCTGCCAGATAGTATTGTGTTGGGTTTTTTTTAATTAGTTATAGCAAACTGTAGTGTGTGCCAGCTTCCTCTTCTGTCATATATGAAACAAAAATTAATCATTTTGCTTCTGCAAAGCTAGCAGATTCAGCATCTTAATTCCTAACTGCTCCCTAAATTTTGTGCAGGTCGTACAACAGTGCACAATGTTACTTATGAGGCTGCCATGCGAAAATTGAGGAAAAGGTGAACAAACTGACTGTAACTCAGATGTTAATAAAGATGAAAAGATAGCTAAGTAGATTTCATCCTTTAGGTGGTAAATTCTAGGACAGTTTTATTTTTATTTAGAGTTTCTCTGTGATGAACAGTTCTGAGAATAAAGTCAGAAACTAGTAAGATGATTTTATTTCAGAAATGATTGAAGTGATCATTTCTGTTGCCCTCCAGTGAGCAACATCTAGACATTTGGATGTGGGAAAAGAGAAGTAAGCTTTGCTTCAACAAGAATTGAATGAAGCCTGACTTTCTCAAAATTATATAGACAAGTCCTAATTTTCGTGTCATTAGCCTGCTTGCAGCTTGTTTTTTCTGTTAAATATGTTTACTGTAATTTCACAGGAGAATGAATGCATGAGAATAAAAATCCTGGGAGACTGTTACTACTGTGTCTCAGGCCTACCTGTGTCCTTACCAGTTCACGCCAGGAACTGTGTTAAAATGGGACTCGACATGTGTGAAGCAATAAAGTAAGTATAGCACAGATAGCTTTTTAATGTATCGAGGCTGTGAAGATACTGAATTAAAGTAATTCTTAATTTTCTTGTCAACACTCGAAGTGTATTCGTTAGCTGTAGCTGGATAGTTACACATTAGGTCATAAGTTCATCTCTTGTTTTTGCACTAAGTGTATGAGGAGACTAAACCTTGACAGAACTCCAGGAGGAGGAGAGAAAATCAAAGGTGTAACTTATGCTCTAATACTCTCCTCTTTCCACAGGCAGGGGAGAGAAGCCACAGGAGTGGATATCAACATGAGGGTTGGTATTCATTCTGGGAATGTGCTGTGCGGTGTGATTGGCCTCCGGAAGTGGCAGTATGACGTCTGGTCGCACGACGTGTCCTTGGCGAACCGCATGGAGTCCGCCGGCGTACCTGGGTGAGGATCTTCCCTGCTGGTGCTGATTCACTCTGTCATCGTGGTTTTCATAATCCTGGTTTATGAGTCTGGAATTTGTAACTGTGCCGTGACACAAATCCTCGTAATGGGATGATGAAAATAGTACAAATGTGTACTTACCAGAGCTGTAAAATGTTAATATTTTCTGATTCTGTTTTTGATGAGCTATAAAACTCTATTCTTAGGCAAGTGACTACTTCTTGACCTTCCCTTTGTTGAGGAAGCTTGTGCGTCTTCAGCAGTGCATTATTTTGACTTAGTTAATTCATGCCGTGCACAGGGATAATACTGTATTTGTAAACTTAGCTAAAGAACAGGTACGCTACTTATGTTGGCAAGGCAAAGCTGCGCATTTACCTAGTGTTTCTGTTAATAGACAGGTCAGTCCCACTAGGTTTATATTAGCATTATATTCGCCACAACCACGCCCCAGGAAAGCACAACTCAGGAATTAAAATGCAGCAAGGAAAGTTTGGAGCTGCTGGTTGTTGCATATTCTCTCTGCATAGCATTTGACATGGGCAGAACGGGAAGGAAAGTGAGTAGGCCTGAGTGGAAAGGCTGAGGCAAAGCAGTAATGTAACTCGCTGTGTGCTACTCACTGTCTGAGATTGATATTTGTGCTGCCTTTTCGAAGATGCTCCTTGAAAAGGACCACTATAAATGTTTTTAAAAAACACTAGCATTTTGTATTTTCCTCATTTGGGAAAGTATACTTGTTTTTTTTCCCTAAGTTGAACTTGAGGATTAGGATTCAGCTAAGAAACTTTTTCTTTTCTCTGGTAGTCTGCACCAAAAGAGACCATATTAAGAGTTTCCCTTTTTCCATTCCCAACTGAGACCAGGGTTTTGTAGGTTCTTGGTAGTGTGTGCAAATTAGTACTTACTAATCAAATGGCATTCATATGGGTATATGTTTGAGCACTGAAGTCTTGGTTTCTCTCGGAAAGTGATTCTAACCAGTGACATTACAGGGTTTCTTACTATTTCTATGCCTCAGACAGCTTTTAGGTATGTGCTTGTAACTTAAAACTAATTTCTCTGAAGTGATAAGGGGATATGAATATCAAATTATTTTCTTGCATTGGTTACCGAAACAGAAGGAAAACTAATGGAAGCTTGATTAATGGTTGCAATACCATCCAGGTTGGGTGTTTTAGTGTAGACTCAGCATGATTGAACGAGAATACAGAGTTGTAAAGTTGCTTCTGTTGGTAAAGCAAACTACGTGACTCTGAATACGGCACGAAAACATACTTTTCTTAGTCATGTTTAAGACCATTGCCTAATCTTGAAAACTTTGATTATTCTATTACGTTATTCATACTTGCGTTTGATAATCTGTTAAAGAATAAAGCTAGTTTAGGTTGGCATGCTGATTCTGAGACATTGCACTTCATACTTCCTATATCTATATGTGTCTAGCACTCACTTACGTGGCTCAGAAGTAGCCAGAGGAAAGCTTCCACTTGTGGAAGACTGCATCACAGGGAGGAAGGGTTTCTGTTTATTATGCAAATGTTATGTTAGTTTCCTGCTCTGTGGAAAAATGATGTGTCTGAGATTCCCCATTGCAATGTTAGCTAGTTCTGTTCCTTTGGAAGCTGAAGTTGTGTCATTAGGAGCAGTTTGAGGTTTTTATTTAAAGTAGGAAGTCTATATATTTGGGGTTTCTGTAAATGAAGGAATTCTAAAGACTTCTGAAAGGATGCAGGAAGACTTCTAGCTTTATAAATAGTTTATTGCCATTGACAGAGTATCCTTGTTCATCCTCTTTCTCATTTTAAAAATTATTTACATTCATAGCAATATAATATACTAGTAAAGTAGAAAGGACTAGCATAAACCCCAAATTAAAAATGCATTTATGACCAATTCTTTCTAATATGTATATGCCTGAAAGATAGGAAGACGTTGTTCTTGGGCCTGTTAGCGGAGGGAACGGAGTGCGGCGTGTGAGGCGTTCTGTACCAGCATAGTAAGTGCCATAGTGCGTGTTACAGCTCGCTTTTGGGAGGCAGCTTTTGCCACGTGCTGATCCTGGAATCCAGTCAGCATTAGTAACTGCTGAGAAATCATCAGCATGCTAAGTTAAATGGAAAGTTTGCAGTAAGATCTGAAATGTACTACGACAGTGTGTGATTTGAGGAAGGCGGAGAGGAAGCTTGGAAAAATGGAAAATTGTGGATAGTGAACAAATGTGCTGCTTTTTGAGATAAGTGGAAAACCACAGGAAACTTGCTGCAGTACAGGACTGTGTTTTAAGGCTCAGTTAATACAGATGCCTCAGTCTCTGTGGGAGAAAATGATGCTTTAGAGCAAGCTTTAAAATTTCAGATTTGAAGGTTTGCCTCGATTGCAAAACTGCATATCAAGGTAACACTTTAAAAAACAGTTCTTTGAGACAATTACCAGGGGACGAATAAAAACATTATTGCTCTGTGTTCCAAAACTCTTACCTTTTGGCTGCAAAAAGATTGAGGAATTTTTTGTTCTTCCTTGTGGGAAGCCCCAGCCAGTGGTCTCCAGGTCTTGGCTGAATTATCTTTAGGCAAACCTACATGCAGCATAAGGAGGTAGATGCAAATGAGACAGTGATCCCCTGGCTCTCTGTGGTTAGGCAGGAGTGCTGCACACTGTCGGCTTCCATTCTGGAAATGTTTTGTTCCCAGCTCTGTGCTGATGAATTGTAGGACTGACAGCACAGTGTTTAACCCCTCTGTGCCAAAGGAAAGTGAGGAGGTGAACAATAAGAAAATAGAATATAAGAAAAAAATGCTATTTTATGGACACACTCAAGTTTCTTGTTGAGAAATCCTATGGAAAGATATTACTTGTAATTTATATGCGAATATGTTATTTGGGATACTGACCCAAATAACATTCAAAGGAAGGCGTGAATGGGTACAGAAGAATACTAACTGCTCCCCTTAGAAGTGTGTTGCTGTGTTACGCTCTGTTCCAGTTAGTTGTTTCAGTCAGAAAAGAGACTTTCAGAGTTGTCCTCCTCGTTGACAAAAAACCTTTCCCAGCTTTTTTTTTTCTGGACTTTGTAACCATCTCCTCCCCTCCTCATGCATTTCTAGCATGAGACAGTCCTCGCTTGTGTTTTGTTTGTGAGTTTTCCTTGTAGCTCTTGCCACCTGAAACAACCTAGCTGTGAGTGTGCCTTGTCAGTCATCAGATCTCCTTTGATCACATTGTTTCTTATATGTTTCTGCTGATTTCGATTTCATTTTATACTGATAACTATTGGATTCCGGGAAGTGTTTTTAGCATACTTGCTGTGTAGGATGGGGACACAGAACCGCAGTAAAGGATTGCAAATATGGTTTTAAGTACTGGCAGGATTTCGTAGTTGGCTGCCAAAGCACAAGCTGACTGAAAAGCAGAAATGTCAGCAGTAGCCGTTGAAATGTAAATGAAACGCTTAATGTGACCTTTCTGCAAGCTTTTGGGTCTCTTGTTCTTTCTCCCCTTCTCAGCCGTGTTCACATCACTGAAGCAACCTTAAATCACCTAGGCAAAGCTTATGAAGTAGAAGAAGGGAACGGACACCTGAGGGATCCTTACCTTGAATCCATGAATATCAAAACCTACTTAGTGGTTGATCCAAGGGTAGGTGTATGTTTCCAAACGTGTATATTTATTCAAATATCTGCATACATTTTAAGTACATAGGTGTCTGTGGTGCATACACCTTTTTAATTTAGGAACAGAAATAAAGCATGGTATGAGTCATCTAAGTAGCTTGGATTTGGGACTTCGGATCTGAAAGCACATCCTACTGTTTTATGACACGTCTGTTAGCTTGAAGGTAGTAAGTGTTATGATGAGACCTCTTATGTGGTCCACACAGAGTAAAAAATATGTGTTTGACTATGTATTTGTGTAAACTATGTCTCAAATCCAGGTTAAAGGGTGGGATGAAGTAATGAAAGAATACCTGTACCGTGTGGCCGCTTTCAGATAAAGTATTCCCTGTAAAATAGCTTCTGACATCTTCTTTCTTGCTACTCAGATGTGAGATTCACCTTGTTTCAACTTTCAAGGTGTAAAGTTAGTAACTGTTGGTTGTCCCTTTAGAGCCTGATAACTGCAAACAGCTGGAGTGTTGCTATTTTAGATTGGCTTGTGGATGATGAGCAAAATATTTCAAAAGAAAAAAGAGTGAAAATGACAAACTTCTTTCCTTAAGGATCTTTACAGGAAGGAACAGTATAGAGCTGCTTTTAATTAGCAAGAACTCAATCTTATCTTTGCATATTTTATGTGCACAACACTGCAAGCTCCTCTACGTGTATACAGCACCTGTTCTCAGAATGAAGATCTAAGTCTATTAAATGGTCCCTGCTCACTCGAAGATACCTGTGAAATACTAGAGAATAACCAGTCGTTGATGTATTGGTTTATTCTGTAGTTTTAGCTTCCTTTTAGACCCACCAGGATATTGCTATATACCCTGAATATACTGCCTGACTCTTCACCTGTGACATAGGGATATAATCTAATGTAGAGTCTGTAATTTGTGGGATCTTCTCCTCACCACTGTTTTGATACACCCTAGCTCAGGAATTAGGAATCTTTTTCCCCTGCTGTTGTGCTGACTGCAGGGAAATTGTATCTATTCATAAAATCCTGTGATCTCACGCACCATCGTAAATAAACCAGGAAGTTCGAACGTTGTGGTATTACAAGTGAAGGCTTGTAAAGGCAGCTGAAGCAAATTCATTATCATGGTTTGCTTTAGCTCACATTAATTAAAGGAGATAAAGGAATCGAGGTTGGCTGACGCATTGCTGATGTATGTTTAGAGTCTTACTAAGTAGCTAGATTGTATATTCCTAAACTACTCAAGCACACAGAGACAGAGCTTCATTTCTTTGTCATTTGTGTCATTTTCTGTTTTCCGAATGTTTTTTCTGTTAGTCCAAACAATGTGTATCAAATAATCATCTCCCTAAAACAAGAGTTAATGATGGGCTGAAGATGCGAGCATCTGTTCGGATGACACGTTATTTAGAGTCCTGGGGAGCAGCCCGGCCCTTTGCCCACCTGAACCACAGGGAAAGTGTGAGCAGTGACTCTTCAAGTTCACAAGGAAGGCGAAGAAAGGTGAGGTCTGAAGCAATGATTGTCATCCTACAGTTGCAAACTGCTCCTCGTGTCTGTGGTGTGAAAGCTGAAATCTGAAAAGATTTTTGTGACCGATTTCTGCTGTTATTCTTGGTGTTAAATGTGAACACAGAACTAAGAAAGTATTTGTGCAACAACTATTTCTGTCAGAACTTAACAGAATTCAAACTCTGCCAATCTCTAGCATGCTATACTCATAGTAAACCTTCAAAGCAAAACTTTGAAACTATCTTTTTTTTTTTTTCCTGACACTTTTCCATCTTGGGGTCCTGCTTGCTACATGTGGTTTTGGCAAAAAGATTATTTATCCCAGCCTCTAGATGCGCTCAACATTTATTTAAAATGTAGAAAAAATAAACAGTCCTTCCACATGCTCCACCTGCATCAGGATTTTATCAGTAAAGAATTTTTAAGATTAAGAATTCGTAAGATATTTAAGATCTTAAAATTTAAGAAAACTCATTTTTGCTTCCATCTGCCCTTCTCAAAACCTGAAAGGAGGAGAGGTGCGTGCTTTTAGGCATGCTCCTGGAGGTGCAGCAAGGCTGTACGACTACTCTTTGTGGAGAGGGTTGATTTTAATAAGTTTTTCTATTTGAGAATGGTTCTTCATTTTTATTTGTGAATAAAAATATTTTTGGCAGCTTCCTGAAGTTTATTTTCTGTAGTTGTGTGTTACTGAGTGTGTAACTTATTCTTAATTCCCTACTTGATTTAGGATATACCTTTGTGTTCCACTGGGCGCCAGAGAACATCTGATAGGTTTGTCAAGTACTTTCTTTTTTTAAAATAGGTGATCCTGTGCTCCTCTTGCAGTTCGGTGTGCTGTAAGCATGTGTCTTTAGGTTGGTTAATCACTGCGTGCATGGTGTCCCTACATTAGAAAGGCTAAGCTAAATCTTAGGCCTTTAAAAAGCTTCTCAATTCCGGTTTGTTATTGTTAGCAGACTCTAAAAGGAGCTTCCCCCCTCTTCATCCTACTGGCCCCTCATTCATTCAGGTTGCATTTTGCTTTAGGGGCTGTAGCGGGATGGAGGGGAGTAGCAGAAAACAAAACAAAACACCTCCTATATTGTGTACATGTACATATTGTAACTGCTTGTGCTACCTCAGCTTTTAGTTTTCTTACTCATAGATGCTAGATTGTTTGTAAGTACTGTAGTACAAAATAAGTACTGTTTAACTTAATATTACGGGTAAATATATTTTACAATATGTATCTTTGGTTAGTACCATTAATGTATGCCATTGTAGCGGAATAAAAAATTGGCACTATATGTAGAGATGCTTACAATGGCACCTGTACCACTGAGTGAACTGGATGATTTTTCACTCGTGAGACCTTGTCTTAGTCTATAAAAATACTGTGTTGAAAAATGCATGATTTGAGTAACTAGAGAAATGCTTAGCAAAGTGCGTATGGATGTATATGTTGATCTGTTCAGAGCGTTCTTGTTTAACTTTCCCTGGTAGCCTACTTTGCTTGTGTGCTGAAAAGAATGATCCTCTGTAGCCACTAATTGTTTCTGAATAGCATTTGTGACATGGGCGTCCTTTTGTTCTCAGAAATTCATCTCAGAAGGGAAGGATAGAGGAAGATATTTATGATGAAATGATGTCAACCATTGAGGGCCTCAGTTCAACTAAGTATGCAGTATTTTAGTTTTTTCTTCATCTTTTCTTTGAGAATAATCTCTGTTCTGAATTTTAAATCTAGATATCAAGTTTACTTCTTAAAAATGAAAAGTTTGCAGGATTTTTATCTTGCCTTTTTTTGATCTTTGTTTGTTCCTTTTGTCTTGCCTTGTTTTTTGGTCTTTGTTCCTTTCCTATTTTAGTTCCTTTTGGTTTTAATTTGAGTGCAGTATTACTGCATTATTACAGTAAGAAGCCAGTGGTTAGTCTAGCTGTTCCGTGTGGTAACGTCCTACAAAAGAGCAAAATTACTGCTTTGTTTCTTATGACTGTCTAAGTAATGAGCTGAACTGCAGTGTAGGAAGGGATAAGAAGTTAATGTTTGTATTCTGCTTATTAAAATAAGTGCCAGGAAATGGGGTGCAGTCCTGAAAAAAACCCTATATATAAAGTCAAAACACAGTTTTGGGGGTAATAATAAAATTACTTTAGTGTCTGTTTCATTGAAGGTAAATGCTCTCTCAGTAGCAGGTGATGCATTTGGCACTGTATTCACATTTAAAAGTGGACAAACACAGGTAATGTTGTAGTTTTTTATTTAAAGTAGAGTATTTAAATTTCTATCAAATGTAAACCAGTGAATTTGAGAAGAAAAACACTTTCTTTCATCTAAATTATAGCCATGCTGTTATCACTGTACCTCAGCTATTCCTAATAGGCGTCTTATATTATTTAGGGAAAGTTTTTGGAGGCTGTGAGCCATCTCTAACATCTTCTATTTTACTTTCCAATTTGTAAACCTTAGGGGTCACATTTTGCACGTAACTGGCAGACACTGCTGTCTGAGAGTGTTCTGGATCTGCCTGTCAGCTACATTAAAATGTAGCTGCTTGTATGTTACGCTATGAAACATAAAGACGTTGCAGAACTGTCAAATGTGTGTACAACAGTGGCACTCTCACCCTGTGTACTGTGGAGTCTTAACTGCAATGATGCTTTTGCATTCTCCTTGGTCTGTTACATACATTTTTTTAATGTGTGTGTCTCTGAATGCAGTCCGTGGTGTGGCAAATCGGATGACTTCTGTGGATTTTCACTGATTTTTGCAGAACCTGGTCTTGAAAAAGAGGTTGGTAAGAGCAAAATAATCCTTTTTGGTCATTGATTTGTGCTTCAGAGCAGCATAAGAATATATTTGAAACTGCCTGTTTTCGACTGCACATGCGAAGAGGTTTTTGGTGACTAAGGGAAAGCAGATCTCAGATCTCATGGTTCCTTTCAGTTGGTCGTTCTTCCTTGATAATGCTAATTCTGTAGATTAAAGGAGATGGTCTCTAATCTCTGGTTAAATTCTTGCCGTAAGGAAGTTAGTAGGAGTTTGGCAGTTTACCTAGATAAAGAACTTCTCTCAAAAGTAATGAGGTTTTTTATTTTAGAAAAATAAAAAATATTCCTGCATCCATAATGAAAATACTTTGCTTTCTGTGGTTGTTTCATTGCAAGTATGAAACCGTTATTTGTTAGGTGCAGTGTGCTTTTTCTGCTTGGATAACTGTTCTTTAATTTACTGTGATGTGGTGTACTGTATGTAGGTACTGGCATGTGTGTGTACATATACACATTTTAGGTTTACTTCTGTGTTTATCCTTTTTTAATAAGGATTTTGACTATGTGCATCTGTGAAGTGCTTATTTACATGCTCGGTGGATTTCCCTCTAGGTTTGAAATTATCTTTTGGACTAGGCTGGCTGTTTTTCTTGACAGATGGTCAAGTGAATTTTATCTGATGGTGTTCATTTGTTCTTTTTTAGTTCTATGTGCATTTTTAATAGTACAGTATAAATTTGCGTATATATCATCACAAAAATGTAATAGAATTTAAAAAAAAACACTAGAATTATCCTTAAAATTTATTATAATCTCTGTTTCAGTATCGCACCATTCCTATTCTAAAACTGAAGAGTTACTTTGCGTGTGCCAGTTTTGTGTTCCTCTGTATATTTCTGATACAGATGTTTATAATGCCAAAGTAAGTGTCAGTATTTTAATAATTTATAATTCAAATTAACCAATTGCTAAAGTGAAACTCACGTGCATGAATCTTTTTGAAGTCTTTTGGAATTCCTGAGGGTTTACATTTAAGGAACGTACAACTCTTAGGAATAATTTACCTCGTAATACAGAAGTGCATTCATGTTGTTGGCATAGAAGTCTACATATCAGTATGAAAAGAAAATTGAAATATTTTTTTAATACTGTGTTTGCTTAGTACACACAGGGAGATGATTGATTAAGAAATACTATTTTATAAGAGTAGTTGACTGTAAGCACATTTGAGTGAGCAACAGAAAACTGGGATTAGCTGGTTAAAATGAGCTCAGTGATCCTTTTGTCTGTAGAGATACAAGCAGGGAACTTTGAGCTGCTTCTCATACCTCCGAGAAAGCAGATTATTGATAATTCTGAAGTTTGTGGTATGTTTGTTTTTCATGGCTGTTGCAGTGCAATTTCCATGTGGTTTATGCATGGGGTAGTGGTTCAGGCTGTGAGTGAGGAGCAGAATATCTTAAAGTAATGTTTGTGCAACAGAGCAACAATAACCTGTGCAATGGTATGGTCAATCCAGTGCTAGTAGAAGAAAACCTCTATTTAAATGTAGAGAAACGTTGTTAGCAAACGTTAGTCTAAATTGCAGTTTGAATTTTTTTTCATTTAACACTGATTTGTTAATGCTTTCTCTTCTGTTTAGAACTGCAAAACTAGGAATTTCCTTTGGCATTGTTGCAGTCATCATTGCACTTATTTTGTTTGTGTGCTTTGCTGAGAAATGCATGGTAAGTTTATTAAAAAAAACCCAAACGTTTTCTGTTTTTGGAAGTGGATGATGTAATTCGGCAACTTGATCTGTCTTTTAAGATGATGAATTAAGCTGTTAATTTCAGTAGGAGTTACAGGAGCCTTGAACCTCAGGTTGCCGGAAGATTTCGTTGCCTGAAACAGATGTTCTTGTCTGAAAATTCTCGCTGTAATTCAGAACTATTTGGGTGCCAGAATAGATAGGTGGGAGGGAGGAGGAAGATACTAAAACTTGCTGAGTGGGGTTGGGTTTTTAAAATTTATTTCTGTTTTTGTGTTTGTCCTTAATAGTAATTTTGGTTCTAAATCCTGATATTTTCTATCCTGGAAACAACATTAAAATCAAAATAAGTTTGAAGGCAAGATTAGTTTTCATAATCATTTATAAACCTTACGAAAATTACAAATATATGAATAATTTATTGGCAACAATTTCACAGCTGTTAGAACTCTAAATTCACCATTATATCAATTAGGACACTTTGCATTTGTAGTTTCTTTTTCTTTGCATTATTAAATGTATGCAATTGCTGTTTAAAAATATAAAGTGACATAGAGTTCGATAGTGCAAAATAAAAAAAAAAATCCTTCTCCAGTCCAAGAACTATCCAGAGGCGAGGATGAGAGATGGAAGGCGTTTTGGAGTGTTCCTTACACTTGTCAACTCTATGTTGTGCTAGACCAAGGGTGAGAGGGAATTCTGAAGTTCTGCTGAGAACATGCCACCATCATCCTGTTGCAGAGCGATGATGGTGGTCTCCCAGGAACACTGCCACAGAAAGAAACGGCCTCTTACAAACCCATGTTCAGGTTGTGTAAAATGGAAAGGAAAAAAAAATGTTGCACTCTGTACATGGGATAAAGTTTTATGCGTAATTTAAAAGTACAGTTAGATAGCATGTGTGGTGTTTATATACATATATATATCAGTGGATAGAGAGAGAGGTGTGTGCATATATATACACATGTGTGGTTTCTACATATGTAAAAATACATGGAGAAAAGAAAATTCCAAAATTGCAATTGCATCAGACTTCAGTTTTACACTGGGAGTGTTTTGATAGGGCGTCCTCGAATAATTGTTAACAGTATATGCTTTACTAGATGTTTTTCTCTATAGCAACAAATGGAGGATATTAGGATGGCAAGAAAGGTGACTGGGACTGATTTTGATTTAGTCACCTGAAAATGTAATGTAGATAACACTGCAGCTCTATAACTAAAAAATACAACATAGATTGTTGCTATATTTTTAGTAATATTTTTCTATAACTTTGAATCAGATCATAATTTTGTATTTTTAAGGAAGAAATTAAGAAAATGTTAGCACCTAGTCCCTTTGAAATAGGGAAGCATTCTTTCCATTTCAGTTGTGGAAAGGCATTAGGCATTTCCTATCAATGACTAGATTCAGAGTTCTAAGTTAGGATTCCTGTAAAGAGTCTTGACACTCTCTTGCAGAGAAAAACTATTTTACATTTAGAAATGTTTCCTCCCATGTGTCAAAATGTTATCCATGCTACTGAAACAAACTAATTGTGTTTACAGAAGTGCTGCTCGGAACAGTGGCCTTTCCTGCGCTATCTCAGTGCTGTCTCAGAAAAGGTGGAAACAAAGCCTTTACTTAGGCTTCCCTTAGCGGTCGTCACGATAGGTGCCTTGCTGATTATAGCCATTTTTAATTTGGTAAGTAACCTCATTGTCTCTGTTCTGTGAATTACTGTAATGTCCGCGGTTTCAGTAACTTCCTGTATTCTTTTCAAGTGCTTCACTTTTTGCTGCTTTTCCTAATGTCTTATTCACAACATGAGTTGATTTACACAAGGAAAATGCACAATGCCATGTAAAAGCACTAAAAATAAAAATTCCCAGTTTGGAGAACTAAAGTTCATGTGGTAGACAACTCTTTGGAGTAACCTCGTGCTCAAGACCACTCTGTTGTGGTTATTTTTAAACAACCTTTACGTGACATACCATGTTAACAGTTTAACCTATCCGATAGCTGGCTACTGAAAGCCATGTCCTTCTCATCCCGTGTGCGTGGTCTGCCATTCTTCTGATTCCATAGGGAGTTTATTCTGAAAGTTATATTACAGAAAATGCTTAATTTTCTTTTGTAGGGTTGCTTTTCTGCTGGCTTAGATCCTTGAACTGACTCACAGTGGTGCCGTGTTAACACCACTAGTGACAGCTTAAAAGAAAACAGGATCAGGAGCTGTGAAACTGAGGGATGTTTGTGTCAGCTAGCTGTTAGATTAGCATAGCCATAACGTGAAACTTTACACCAAATTAAAAAATAAGTGAATACTTGGCAATTTTAACCTTCTTGCACCTTATGCGTGCATATATGTTTAATAAAACTATATGAGATATCATTATATTGCAAAGTTTATACTGCAGCAGCACTGAAAGGGCAATCGATCAGAACTAATTGTGTAATATACAGAGAAAAAACTTAAAATTAGTCACTACCTGCTGGCAAATTTATATGGTGGTTTTGTGCTTTTGTTGTTTTGATTTTTTATTGTGGTGGTTTTTTTTTTCCCCTAATAAATCAGCCTACTGAAAAGAACAAACCTGCAAACTTTACTGGATCAAATGACCTGTGCACTACCACCTACGTGAGTAGAGTACTGTCTTAATTTCTAAGATTAAAATGCAATGAGTCCTGGATGGTGTGCATAATATGGATGAATGGCAGCATTTTGATATTTTTTCATCTTTTTATAAAGATATAATTTTAAAATCATTGAACACAAAGATTTACTCCTGTCACAAGACAGTTGTAGGGATAGTTTCTATCATGAACTGTGGCTCTACTGTGCATCTTTTAGAGATTTCCAAAAGTCTGGAGTACTCATGGATAAAGCTGAAGTCTTGGATTATTTTGCTCACTTAGCTTTTAAAGGTGTTCTCTAGCATTTCTGTAAGGGTAGATGCAGCACTTACTAACTATGCAAAAGAATTGTTTCTGAGGTTTTCATTTTTTATCTCTCTGATTCCGAAGTAGCATTCTGGTTTATGTTTGGGAAGCTCCTTTGTCACCTGGCCACCCCTTTAGATGATGGACATGTTTTTGAACAATGTGCAGCAGGTTGTGCGAGGACCCTTTCATTTAAGTCCTGGTGATAAATGCTGAGTTACACATAAATAATGTATATTGTACTTACCCGGTAATTTTTTGTTCTTGCATGTCTCTAAATCAGGCTTTTGGAAACACAACTCAATCCTGCATTGAGGAAACTGTAAGTATTGTATAAATGTTACTTTAAAACCCAGATCTCTGAATATTGTATGTATTGCTGACAACTGGCAGGTTCTGCTGCTGTATAAACAAACCACAGCTTTTTTCGATATCGGAGCAGAAAAGTTCTTCAGGGAATCAAGATGTCACCTGCTGTTACTGTGCTGAATGAAGTACGGCTCTGCAATTTTCTGAAATTTCAGGCTTAAAAGTAGATCTAAAACTTTGAGGAAAGAGCGGTAGAACAGGGTGATGGTTGTGTTGGAGTCTGCGAGATGAGAGCTGTACTTGCAAGCATCCCAGTAAAGCGTTTTGATAGTGACAGGGCTTAAAAGGCCACAGACCTGTGTTAGTGTTATCTATACATGGTGGTTTCTTTTTCAGAGGTTTGGCCCCAGGGTTGTGACTGTGAGTGTTCCTTACCTTCTGGAAGTTAGGCGCAGTGCCTTTAGGATGACTGAGTTGGTACAATACATTACTGTACGGGCTCTGGTCCTGAGGTGCCCCATAAATTGTTCTGGTTTCATTCACTTCAGCAGAAATGTGAACCATTTAGCTAAGAATCTCCCACGTCTGTGGTAGGTCTGTGCTATTATGTGTGAACAACTCTGCTTCGTACATACAGATAAATAAACTCTTGAGGAGTGGAAGCTGAGGTAATTCTGGAGTTGTTGTAGACGAAAGCGTGCCAGCTCGACATCTCTTACCTGTGCCTGCGGCTGCAGGGAGCGATCCTGTCTGTGCAATGTGCTTTGTAAGGCCTGACAGTTTTCTTGCTCCAGCTGCATGCTGACCTTGGATACTATGCTGGAACTGTGATTTCTCTGGGAGATTTTCAGTAGTTCCACTGGTTAACGGCCAGTCACTGGGCTATGAACCTACTTTAGGTTAGTCTTGAACTTTAAATGAATAATTGCTTAAATTAATAGACTTCAGAAGATAAATTCTCAACACACTTCAGTTTTTATCTGACACTGCTTATGTTGGTGTATTGCTTGTTTAAATCTTTTTGTTTGTCTTGAAAATTTTTTAAAAGTAATCTAGAAAAAGTATTAAGCTCAGCCTTTTAGTGCAATTAAAAATAAAGCTTCAAGTGTTTTTAGCAAGAGATTTTAATTTCTTCTATTTAAATTCCAATGATCATGAACTTAGAGCATTTGCTATAGTTTGAAAGTCTCTTATGCATAAAGCATGAATAATGCAAGTGTTCCTTAAATTCTTCTTTTACAGTATTATACTTACTGCTGCATATTGGGGTTCATTGCTTGCTCGGTATTTCTTCAAATGAGCTTTGAACTCAAAGTTCTCCTCCTGTCCATTGCTGTGACTGTATACCTCATCATTTTCAACACTGTTCAGCAGAGAAACTTCAGCTTCTATGGCAACAGTACCAGGTGCAGTGTAAAGTTTCTTATAATTGAAAATAATGTTTCATTAAAGAAGATGATAGGTTTTTGTACACTTACTTGAATATTGAAATGTCAAAATCATGTAAAAGACATTACAAACCTTTCTGTAAAGTTAGTGGCATGGAAATCATATTAGACCATTACACCTTTTTTTATTTTATTTTGAAGAAAGTGTCTGTTGTCTGAAATATTCTGTAGTATGGCTTCTGCTATCTCTGGAAGCTTAGCTTACATTGAAGACTAGGAGGTAGAATATTAATCTTCTAATAAGGTTGATCTTCTGTTAATCTATGGAGAAAAGCCTTGCTAGAAGTCCGATGCTCAAGCTGTGCTTGAGACCTCGCCAGTCAATAGGATAGTGAACTCTTCGTTTACCTACCTCACTAACTGCACGTATTTTGAAAAGGAACAGCAATTTACTTGATCTAATTGAAGAAACTATAAAGATACTTAAGAAATCATATGTGGAATGTTTTTACTGTTGATTCATAAGTCTGTTTCTCAGGTTCTCAGCATAGTCTCATAGTTGAAGATTAAGATATATTTATTTTGCAGAGGCCAACTGTGAGCTGTCAGCGCATCATAAAAAAGCCTAAAGGAGCTCTTAGTTTAGCCTCTTAATCTCAGGCTATTCATATAATGAGAATTTAGTTTGATGTGTTTGTGAAAATTAATAGATGTCAGACAGACTGATCTCACTGTGAAATATGAGTGGTGCCTCAGACTTGTATGGAACTATATACAGGTGTGAATTCATGGCTGTCTTTGTTTCGGACATTCAGGTTTTTATTTGTTACCATCTTTCCTTCCACAAATAAGAAAGTGATTTTTTTTTTTTTTCCTGCTTCAAGGTTTTGTTGGCTGTGTTTTTGTGGGGCAGTGTGGAGAGGAAAGCTGAGCTCAGTGAAATGGAAGTTAAAATGCCTCCATTAAGATAAAGCCATGTTTACTTGAACATCTTGCTGCACTAGTTACTTAACAGGGTTTCAGCACCCATTTTGTCATCACGTGAAACGCAGTTCATGTACTGAACTGAATGACAAACCTTTCTCGTTATTAGGATAGAACCTATAACCAGACAGCTACTGGCACAAATAGACAATGCCACTGGTGGTGTATGTCTGAACAAAGACACCTTTTTCTGCTATGTGCTTCTTCACCTCCCCTTCCCCCTCCAACCCTTAATCATGTGGGTTTTCTTAAAGGATACAGATGACTTTGTATTGCTTTCCTGTTTTCAGGCTTTTCGTCAAAGAGCCGAGGATCATGACTAATTTATATCTGGTTCTGTTTTATGTAACTGTAATTTTACTTGCAAAACAGGTATGTATTTAAAAAGCAATAGGTTAGTTCTTTTACTTGCAGCAAATGGATTTAAATAAAATGCAAAAGTATTTGTTCATTGAAATTGTACACTAAATTTGTATATATTTTAATCTTTTTTTAATATTCTTGTACTTAGTCGTAGATAATGTACTTGCTTGTACTTTGTTATAGATAATGCAAACATTTTTACTGTGAAAGGGTGGGAACGTTTTTGTATTTTTAATAGTGTTTGCATTACAGAAGTCAGAACTGTCAAATTCTTCCAGTTTGGATCTGTCTGTATTTATATATCAATATTCATCCTAAATCAAGGCAGTAATTCAAGATAAAAATAAAGACCATATTTTTTAAGTGTCATTTTGGTAAATACACCTGATGGTACCCAAATGGCATTCATTCATACTGACTGCTTCATGTTTTTCTGACCTTTGCTCTCAAAGCACATTTGTCATAACTAAATAGACTCAAAAGGCCTTGAAGAAACTTTATTGCGACTACGCTTTTTGAATAAATCGACTAATATTTTTCAATAAGATATTATGTGGATTTAATTTATCATATTTGGTCCCTTTGCAGATTGACTATTACTGTCGACTGGATTGTCTGTGGAAGAATAAGTTTAAAAAAGAACATGAACAGTTTGAAACGATGGAGAATGTTAACAGGCTTTTGCTGGAAAATGTACTTCCAGCACACGTTGCTGCCTATTTCATTGGTGAAAAACGAAACGAGGTATGTTTAATCTCTACTATGTGAAGGACAGTAAATTTGACTTCTGTGACATAGAACATCATGCTAACAAACACACAGAATACTCTGAGGTTCTGCACACTTTGCCTCTTATTTGTGTCCCAAGAGCTTTGTAAACCCAAGAATCTGCTATCCAGATGGCCCCAAAGAAATGCAGCAAAAAAATGCAGGCACTTTAGTGTCGGCCTCTGAAATCTGTTTTCAGAATTGGTAGTCTGGCTTCAGGACACAGTTTGAGTTTGGCAAATATTTAAAAAGGATTTACTGCTTTCCAAAGACCATATTTTACCAGAGAGGACAGGCCTCTTAAAAAAAGTTAGTTGAGGAACGGATAGTATCTCTTTGGTAACAACCCCGGTGAGAAGTTCATCGATAATGTTATTGATTTTAAGACACACATCTTATTCAGCCAGCATGTTATCAGAATAAATATTGCTGATTTCATATGGTAAGTGGCAGAAGACTGGCACTGTCCGGAATTGATGAGAATCTTTAAGATGCATAGATATCTCAGCTTTCCCTTAGGCAAATCGACTTTGTTAATGTTTCTGAGAAAATAAGAGATGCCCACTGTAAAGTACTGTAGTTGACGTCATAGGAAAACTGTAATTTGATTACTGGTTACAAACAACAATTATAGTTTTGAATACCTGTGGTGGAAGGTGACTGCTGACAATGTGTGAATATATTGTTTTCCTGTAGGACTGGTACCATCAATCTTATGACTGTGTCTGTGTCATGTTTGCATCGGTACCAGATTTTAAGGTGTTTTATACTGAATGTGATGTCAATAAAGAAGGCCTGGAATGCTTGCGACTGTTAAATGAAATCATTGCTGATTTTGATGAGGTAATTAAGCTTCTGGCAAAAAATGAACTGGATTACATATTTACTGCAAAATAAAATGTTTCACTAGATCTGTAAGCATTAGCCGGGGAAAAAAGGCTGTTAACACTGAATTTATATTCTGAGTTTAGCCTTTAAATGTTTAAGATATATTCCCATCTGATGGGATTTTTCAGTTAAATCATCTAATTCATTAATAATATGGTTTGAAAGTCCTGAATTTTGGTATTTTGTTTCAGTACTTCAGCGCTTTATTTCTCCTATGAGCAGGTATGGCAAAACTCAGAACTTTCTCTAACCTTCATGTGATTGGTAGTATTCCTAAAGATGTTTAATGCTTATTGTAGACAGTATAAGATTTCTGGTCAATTACCACATTGAAATACGGTACTACAGTCTCAAGTTTCTGTTTTCCTTCCCTTCAAACAGCTCTTGTTAAAACCTAAATTTAGTGGTGTTGAAAAAATAAAAACCATTGGAAGCACTTACATGGCAGCAGCTGGTCTCAGCATTACACCAGGCCAAGAGAACAACCAGGTACGTTGTCTCTGAAACCTGCCTTCGGTATTCTGTGCAACAGAATGTAATGTGATATAAAAGAGACAGTAAATCACCAAGAGTGACTTTCTGAAATGTGGAAAAAAAGTGTATTGTCTCCTGTTGAATTCACTATTTATCTCCTAGTTCCATTATTTTCCTAAGCAGTTATTTAGTCTGTAACCCCAGCATACTTTTTACATCTTTAGTCCTTCATTCCAGTAGCTTGACATATCTAGATGCATAACAATAATAGGGAAGTCGAAGAACAGCTGCCAAAGAAAAGGGAGTCTCAGAATGGGACAGTAAGCTTTTTGTGATACCTGAGAACTGGCACAAAAAGGGAGTCCTCAAGTGCCACATTAGATCTGAATCTGAAACTGGTTGTTACCCAGAAGAGTTAAAACCAACTTCTGTACTCAGGCTCGCTTTCACAATAGCAGGTTTGTGTATGACATTAGGATGCACATATGTAATACATACAAGACATGTAAAATGAAATCTGGAATCCTAAAGGGCAGACATAAATTTGTTATAAAATTTAATCATGTCATGCTTGTTCCAGCTTCATGTCTTCTAGCCATTCCAATGGAATTTAATATTTTTTTTAAAATCCATTTTGGATGTTTGAATGTTTGTTAAACTGTACAATTCTGCACAGTTACAAGGATGAGTGGTCTCATCCTTATAAATATGTTAGTGCTGGTTTGGAATAGTAGCCTGACGCAACTTTGTGTTGTAATTTGACCATTAATGTGTGTTATGAATGGCGTAGGATAAGGACAGACAGCACGCTCACATTGGGATTATGGTGGAATATGGAATTGCCCTGATGAGTAAACTGGATGGCATCAACCGACATTCCTTTAACAATTTCCGCTTACGTATTGGTAAGTTCAGTTCGTGAAGAACAGGAACTCTGCAGCTCCGTAGAAAATTAAAAATGAGGGAGGATACTGAGGTGAATTGCTGAGTGCTGTGGAGCCCTTCTTAACACTGAACACAGCGTTTGGATTATTACAAAATGCGGAATAGCTGAGGGTAGTGTTGTCTAGTCCAGCTTTTAAAATAGCCAACCTTCTTTGTGGATGAGCTTTTCTAGTCACTGGAGGGAGCAATAGAAGGCTGCAGCTGGATGAGTTTGGAAAAAATTAAAGGTATGGATGAAGAGTGAAGTACCTGTTACTAACTGTTGACTAAAACCAGTATTGTCATTATACAAATGTTTATTTTGATATGTTGAGAGTAGAAAAGGAAGAATTTTGCTTTGGCATGAACTTTGCCCTAGCTCTTTCTTTCCATTTCACGAGTCACTTCACATCTCCTAAGCCTCAGTGCTGATGTTTATAGAACAGTGGTAATTTGGGGATTTTATCTCTGAAGCTCATGACTTATGGCTAATAACGAAGCGAGATATCATGTAACTTTCTCCTTCAGTAATAACACCTGCTTTTGTTTATACGAAGGGATAAATCATGGCCCTGTGATTGCTGGTGTGATCGGTGCCCGGAAACCTCAGTATGATATCTGGGGCAACACTGTTAATGTTGCTAGCCGAATGGAGAGCACGGGGGAACTTGGGAAAATCCAGGTAAACATATCAGCCTTGGAATGTCTAAGAAATTATTTCTAATTGGTTATGGATTTTTTAAAAATGAGAATAAACAGAAGAATTTCACAAGTGTTTCTAATTCTTTTCATGCAAAGGTCACAGAAGAAACGAGTAAAATACTACAGGAGTTGGGATATTCATGTGAATGTCGGGGACTCATTAATGTCAAAGGCAAGGGAGAACTGAGGACTTACTTTGTTTGCACCGAGACTGCCAAATTCCAAGCTGTGGGACTGAACTGAGGCTACAATGAAGTTAATCAGAAGATACTTGGAACTGCCTCCCTTCTGTGAAGACTTAGAATTTCCCTCCTTATGTGAAGGACTTTATTCTAAACACGTATATACTATTCCTATTTCTTCTACATCTCAAGACAAGAGAATAATTTTTTTTTTTATTTGAAAGAAGTTCAGAGAAGTTCCTAGAAGACATGTAACCACCAGTCGGAAAAAGACTACGTTTTCCTAAAGTAATTGGAAGATTTACCTGGAATTGCCATGAAGCATTTTCAGTTAGTTCCTTTCCTTACCTGCACTGTGGGAGTCTGAATAGCTCCAGTGACAACATGTGTGGATGCACTGCAGAACTCATAACCGTGTTAAAACATTCCACTGTTTCATTCCTTGACACACACCTCTTACAGTATTGCATTTGCCACAGCCACGTGAGATGATGCTCTGGGCACTGAATATCCCGCTTTTAATGCTGAACAGACTTCACAGCAGCAGACGGCTGAATAATGGAAAGAGAAATGCAAGTAAACTCAAATACATCAGACAATAATTGTGCTGAGCTCCTTTGGACAAAAGAAAATGAATTGCACGGTATCGAATCACTTTGTTGTCGTCTTTGCATCCTCCATAGTGGCACCTTGTATTATGCAAATGGTTTCATGACCAACAGCTGAAACTTTCATCTAGTTTGGAGTGTTTACATTACGTTACATGTTCTCCTTTGTATTTCTGTGCCTCTGTATTCAGCATCTGTGTGCACAATCACATAAGAGAACTTCTTTAAAATTCTGACTTTAAATTTCAAAAAACATATCCAATCTTGAGGAGCACCGAGCGCCTGCAGTTTATCCTGCGTGCTTGGTTAGGCAGGTTTTGGTAACAGCTCGTGTCGCTGATACAGGCAGGAATTCTGCATCCTGACTGCCTTCTTGAGGGCACTCCTGGTAGAAAAAATGATCTGTTTTGGATTGTTTGGAAACTGAAGAACAGAACTGATAAGATAGTATTAGAAACAGTGGCAGATACTGTATAAACAGAACGGCACCTGAGGTGGGTTTTGTTTTTTTTTTTTTTCTATTCTTGTTTCTTCAATGTGACTAGCCACTGGCTGGTTTACATTCCTTTTAAAGGCAATGCAGTTTATGAAACAAACTGGTTTTGAGAGTTACAAAAGGACTTACGGAAAAACATATTCATAATGGAAATGTTTCAGCAGAGCCTTAGTACTGCAAGTATGTGTAGAGTATGAGTAAGATCACAGAGACTGACTTGCTGTAAGTTTAGTTTGTAAAGTTTTTAAGCTGTTAATGGCTTTTGCTAATTCCTAAATTAGTACTTTTCTTCTTATTGCAATCACTGTTTTCTGTGGTGGAGATGATAGTATTTCGTAAGGCTAACATCTTGTGCCCAGTTATATGTGTTAACTAGGGATGGATTCCCCCTTCCCCCAATATACTGCATGTAGTATGACTAAACAGCACAGTGATTAACGAGTTCAGCTTGTTTTGTTAAGCCTTACTTTTCTACAGACAAGGCAGCATTTACTAATATTTCTGGGTTTAGTACTGAACCATACTGGAAAAGTGTTTAACAAGCAGTCCTATGCGTCACTGCCGCTTTCTAATTACTGTGTAATTTCTTTAGAAGATGAAGTGACTATGTTTCAAGACAGGAACAAATCTAAATATTGTCCAGCTGTGGATTAAAAATTGTGGTTAGAGCCTTTGTCAATTTGGTAGGTCAAAATGGTGTTTGTAGTAAGTCTCCAACAGAAAATAGCATGATAGAAAACCTTAGTTTGAGGGTGTCTGGTTCATGTATGGACTCTGCTGAAGAAGTTGTTTCATACTTGGTTTATTGTCAGTATAAAGTCGGTGTTGTAGTTGACTAAACTTTCAAACAGCTTTTGCTACTCTTGTATATTTGTAGTAACAGATGCTCAGCAAGCATTTGTTTTGAGCTATTTATTTATTGTTTTATAAGGACCATTCATGTGTCAAAGGCTCCTTTCAGCAGGCTTTGATGTCCTGTGTTTGGTGAAGTGACTCTTTGCCTCATGAATGTATTTGGAAAAGCGCGTTACGTGTATAGATAGAGCTGGCTCTGAAGTGTTTCTGTTCCCAGAACTAGTAGAATGTAGATGTACGTTACCTGTGAAAGAAAACTCTGTAACAGCGTGTTGAAATGCTTTTGTTTACATTCCGTTGCCTGTCAGGCTGGTAACTCGCTTGGGCACAACTTCAGCTTGACCTCCTTTCCAGGGTGGCATTAGGAGCTGCCGCTTTCAAACTGGAAGGAGTAGGTTTTGTTGCCGTTTTGAAAGGACATTGTGCACTTACACTGCTCACTCAGTGTTCGTGTACGGTGCAGTTGGAAAGTGTGTGTAATGAAAAAAGGGTGGTATCTGAGGATGACTTTCTAATTTCTCATCAGAACTGGAACTGTATGAGAGCTACATTCAACCGCAGAAAAAGTTCAATTTGAGAAGGAACTGTATTTAAAGAGTTGTTTTCAGCAGTCCTTTTGAGAACGAACTGTGAAATTTAAGATTAAGGAAATAACCTTGCTAGAAAAATTTTCCTTACAGCATTATTGTTTTCTTAAAATGGCACTGTATCTAATTTGAAGAGCTAATAACCTCTTGAATTAGCAACCTATTTCAAAGAACAAACTTTTCTTTTTACCAGTAAATAAAAAACTTCCTGAAACTTGTTTGGTTTTGCGATTACTTTGGTGAAGATTCCCATGAAAAGGAGGCATGTTTCTTATACCCCTGTAGAGTTAATGAGATTGTTTTTACTCATAAACTAAACTTGATGGCTTTATTTTTTAAAAACTGTGTAAGTGGAAAATACATAGTGACATACTCAAGTTCAACAGCTAAAGAGTAATTTAAATACTGAAGTTTTCTGTCATTTGTGGCCTTCTACTGCCCTAGATGAAAGGTAAGTGATGGGAAATGAGATGCTATGAAGTGAGCCAATAATTGATTCAGCTGGCATGGTTGTTGTGCGTCTTGTCTTGTAGCATAAGAATGACTTAAATATTAATGGAAAAATTCATTCCCTGGAGTGGTATTTCAGCTGCAATTACCTAGAACTGAAAAAATTTTAGCAGTGACTTTATTATATATTCTGGGAGAACTGAAAATATTGGAGAAAAATCCAGGTTGACAGTTCATTCTTTTTGGAAGGAATTTTAAGAATTGTGAAGAAGTTTAAAAACACTTAAATAAACACTTCTGCATGTTTTTGGAGAGGAGGAAGGGAGTGTAAGGCTGTAAGACTGGGAGTAGAGGGTGGAATTCACGGTTATGCTTTGCCTTCGTTACTCTTTGTTTCAATTCCATGCCACTGCACCCATGAGCAATTGCTAATCAGATGCAGCTGATACACTGCGTGTCATTCCTGGTAGAGTCCAAGGTTATACTGGAGCCATGAGGTAAAAAGAGCAACATTTAAAAACACTTAAGGATGCGCGTAGTGCTGCGTGATTGTGCATGTAACTGATGAGCACAGGGAAAAGCCTGCTTGTACCAGAGTCACAGGCTCCGTATCTCATACTGCACAGGTGCCTGAAAGCTGTACTGTCAGTCTGCTTTGTCTGCAGCTTCGGTGAACAGCACACTGACTTTCAATGCTAGGCGTCTTCTAAACATGCTCTCCTTTCTGATAAGTGAGCCTAACATCGTTTTCCAGATAATGTCTCCAAGGAGTAAGAGTTGCCTACATGAGTGTCTCAGAGTTGACGGTACTGTATTAATGCGGTATTTTTACTTACTGGCAGCAAGTGGGTTTGTTAGTCTCACCATACCATCATGACGTGTCTCTAAGCTTGCTCTCAAGTTTCAGAATGCTGTGAGCACAGGGTGGTGTTTCCCTCAGAGGAGATTCATCCACATTCAAAGTCTCACAACGCTGATTTTCTGTTAATTCATCAGGCTACATCAGTTGTATTTAAAAAGTTTATTTCTCTTTCTCATGATCGTATGAGCTGCACCGTAATTTTAAAAAGGGAAACCTGCACGTTCAGATACTAATGATTTTCACCCGACCAGATTCACATACAGCCCATACTTTGTTTTTAGAAACTGTGGTTGAGTCCCTGCGCCGTATATAGGCACATTCTCACTTACACTTTGACCTTTCCAGATGCTTAACAACCTCGGAAAACTTAAATGCTTCTGACGTTCTTTAAAATAATAAGGAATGCAAAAATAATAATTTAGTGCATTGATGTAGCAGAAGTAACTCCAATACAAACCATTCAATTTCAAATGTCATCAGTTTCAAAATTTAATAAACAAAAGTAGTTGAACACACAATATACACCTGCTCGGTGAATGCACCTGAAGGCAGTTTATCTGGTTCTTAAATAGAATCAAACAAACAGCTGTAAACTTAACCGAAGCTTCAGACTGTAACTGGACCACACTCATTTTCAGGGATGGTGACAGCCTTTTTAGGTTCCTGAAAGTCTGAAACAGATACCAGGTCAATTAGCATATAGAGCTTTTAAACAAAAGAAATTCACACGCAATAGAGTACTCCTATTTGCTGCTACTTGTGCAGGTAGTCCTGAGTAGCTGCATGTTCTCCAAGAGTCCAAGAAAAGATTATGTTTCAGTTGGTTCTGTTACAGAGCCTCTTGTACAATGCTACGAAAAAGACGTCGCTCGGCAACTTTGAAATGGAAATTTCTTAAGCAATTTCCTTGAAAATGTAAGAAAGTTCCTGAAGTAATCCCGCTCTTTTCATTAAATAACAACTTAACTGAAACTTTTTATATGTTTCTTGAAAGGAAATTCTTACCTGCCTTAAAAAGTGGGGACAAACACAAACTCGGGGTATGCTTTTACAGTTTATGTGCCACAAGGGGGAGATGTGGTTCTGGCACTTAGATTTTCCACTGACCTGACTCCTTAATCCAGCAAAACCAGTAGTTACTTTTGGCTGGACGAGTTGAGTTGAACTGGTGCCATCAATTTACAAAACACTACAGCTGGCCAA